ATGCTATTCGGTACTCAGAGAGGTGGGTTTGCAATGGCTGCAATTGCTGGATTTGGCTGGAGGGAGAGATTTGTCGGGGGGAGCACGCTGGGGCAGCGGTTATGAGAGCTGAAGCGCTAATAGACAACAGGTACCACGACGACGAATACGAGTATCGCCATGTCCAGCTGCCAAAGTTGATGCTCAAAGCGATTCCTAAAGAATACCACGACTCTGCCAAGGGCACGTTAAAGCTTCTTTGGGAGGAAGAATGGAGGGCCATGGGAATGACACAGGTGAGGGGCATGCCTTTGGAAAAAGAAAAAAAAAAAAAATCATATGTCCTTCGCATATCCCCCGCGGTCTAAAGGAAAAGTGACACCAATCAATGCAACATCAACTGACATTAGCTTTCCTAGAGTCTCGGCTGGGAGCACTACGAAGTTCATGAGCCGGAGCCGCATATTCTCCTTTTCAAGTGAGTTCTGCCGCTGTTTTACTGATAACGAGTCATCTAATCGATTGAAAGGCGACCTCTCGACTATCAACCTCCGCAGTGAGCCTATGCGCGAACAGGCCGTCGCTCAAACTGTATATGATGACCTCGAATTTTCCGCGGCGGCTCATGATGCATCAAGAGTCCCTCAAGAGTCCCTTTGTTTAATGTCCCCATTACGATTTTTACGGTCTGCATACTACAATAATGTTGGGTTAATAAGCTACGAGATGGGTGAGCGCCGTTTCGCGACACTACCGGCACTCGCTCTCGCTCGCTTCAATGTCTGCTGTGGCAATTCGGGACTACACACCGGCTTTGGTTCTGAGTCTGGGTAGTGAGCGGCACGTGGGTGCCTATATCGAAAGTGCAAACATTTGCTTGGCGAGATGGCACTCGTCTACAACGATTTATATGTCTTCCCAGACAGACGCCTTGAGGTTGCATATACGCTGGCCAAATGAGTTGACACTTTGGAAGATGACTGGTGCTGCAGGAAAGGCGCATTTAGGCGATTGGTTAGCCTTGTGTAGAGGTAGCTGAAGAATTGAAGAATGGTCTAGGAATATATATATATACATACATACATACATGGAGATATTCTAGCAGCCAAACCACGGTCGACTCTAGAGAGGTACCGTGTCAAGCAGTGTCTAAAGGGTTGACTTCTTTGAGACACAGTTTTTGAGCATTGGGGCAGGAAAGCTTGTTCAGTGTCGCTATATATACTGTAGTAATAAATGCAACATTTCCGCTGTCAGTGAAGCAATGCAAGATATCAGGATTTTCTTCCTATGTGGAATAGCGACGGGAAGCGCGCCTAGCGTATGATCTTAATTAAAGCGCTGTAGCATTTGTTTCGAGGCCGTATTCGCTACGCAAGAATAGCGATGTTCGTGTTGCTGCAGAGCGCACATCTATTGATTGCCCTTTGGTGAGAACTCGCCATTCGTGTCGATTTGTTGTCTACGTGGCCTCTTTGCGAGATCTTGGATTCATCCTCTTCATATACGATAGACTGAAGTTTGCTGCCCTTTATCACGCCACGAATCACGCGTATACATGTAGATATCAGGAGTAAAGAAGATGATATCAGAGGAGTCATCAACTGTCCCCTCCTTCAGATAGAACCCTGTAGGTTTGCGTCTACTGGGCCAGTATGTACCGAGTACCTGCAGTATTTGTGCTATGATTGTGAATACGGGGCACACTCGATGCCTCTACACGCGAGGTGCATGATTGGACTGCTCCCAGCTGTGTGTAAGCCGTAATGCGGCCTCTTCTCACCAGTCAGGTAGGTGACGTTACTGCTGTGGTCGATGTGCACCCCGAAGCGGAAGGCGTCTGGAGTTGATGCTCGGCCGGTCGGGTGGGCTGATTCTGGCTTTTCTGCGGCCATGGATGGTCTCACTTGGAACAGATGCAAGGCTTGCTTGTCTTGCACATACCCATCAGCTGGCAAACTCGTATACAGCCCGTAATAAAGGGACGCCCTTGAGCTAGCAGCGTCACTACCGCCCGGCATCAGCATATCAGCGGCCTCTCTGGCCTCTTCGCCCTGTGGCCACATTCCAAGGTCCCTGAACGTCTCTGGCGTGGGGTGGCGTCAAAAACTGCGCTTTCCAGCGCCCACATTGGTCGGCTCCAGCGACCGAAACGCCCCCCTGGGCCACCTTCTGGTCTCTTCCCCGCGCCACCGCTAGGCCGGTACTTGGTACACCGCGGCTCCGTAGCTTTTGTCCTAAAGTGAAGGGGGAAAAAAAGTTCGTTTCTAATCAAAGTATCCAGATCGCCAGCGTGGCATCTTTCCCGTTTCAGGAACATATCTCATGATATGTCAGCAGAAGAAGACTGTCCTCTCTCAAAAGTCTCCGGCGCATCTTCTTGATCTTTTTTTGCGGACCTTTTTCCTTATTCGCAAACTATATAAGTTTTTCCACATTCCCTCGCTGCTGGCCGTTCCCCCCCGCGATACGAGTTTGAAAGCCGCAGTTCGAACTAAGTTGCACTTACTTGCTGTGGCTTGGCGAGAGGCTGAAGTCAACATTCTATTTATCGATTAAACGTCAGCCTTTTCTTCTCTTGAATTTTCTTGCTCTTGCTTGGGTCGCATTTCTTGAGACTCTCAATCGGGCTATATTTCGATAGCCTTCAATTCCTTTGCATCTCGGAGAGGCACATCTCCTATTTATTCTGCCGTCGTTTCGGTCCCTCGCTTCCCGAAGCGATGCCAGCCATTCGGGCTACGCATTAACTATATAGAACCGCCACTACAGAATTTGGTTTCCCCGGATCGAAGATGAAGTCTGCAAGCAAGCTGTTTTATCTCTCAGTGTTTGCCCTCTTGGCTACGTCGGGATCATGTTCCGACTCTGCAGACACCTGTCCTGTATGACAACCCAAGCTCGCCTCGCTTTCCAAGGTTGCCTTTGCGCTAACAATTTGTCGCCTCTAGTTTTCGCCAAACGCCATCATTGACGATGGATGTGTTTCGTATGCTACGCTCGATAGACTCAATTCAAAGGTGAAGCCTGCAGTCGACGAACTCGTGCGCACGACCGATTTCTTTTCGTATTACCGCATGAACCTATTTCACAAGACATGTCCGTTCTGGAGCGACGAAGATGGCATGTGCGGTAACATTGCATGCGCCGTCGAGACGCTAGATAACGAAGAAGACATCCCCGAGATTTGGAGAGCTAGCGAACTCGGCAAGCTGGAAGGCCCTCTAGCGAAGCATCCGGGCAAGAAGATGCAGAAACAGAATCCGCAGCGACCGCTACAAGGGAAGCTGGGTGAAGGTGTTGGAGAGAGCTGTGTGGTGGAATATGACGATGAATGCGACGACAGAGACTACTGCATTCCCGAAGACGAAGGCACGACATCCAATGGAGACTACATCAACTTGCTACACAACCCAGAGCGATTTACCGGATACAGTGGCCAGAGTGCCAAGCAGGTCTGGGACGCCATCTACTTGGAAAACTGCTTCAAGAAGAGCTCATTCCCCAAATCTGCCGACCTGGGAGTTTCGCATGCGCCATCGGAGCCTGCCGCATTGGATTTCAAGCACGTCTTAGACTCTGCTGGGCGCCAGGCCCAGCTTGAGCACCAGCGACAGAGTTTCCCGGATACTCCTTTTGTTGCCAATACTGGCTACGAGGTCGAAGATGAATGCCTGGAAAAGCGAGTGTTCTATCGAGTTGTCTCGGGAATGCATGCCAGTATTAGCACGCATCTGTGCTGGGATTATTTGAACCAAAGCACCGGAGAGTGGCAGCCAAACCTGGCTTGCTACGAGAGCCGACTGCACAAATTCCCAGATCGTATCAGCAACTTGTACTTTAACTACGCACTCGTTACTCGCGCCATTGCGAAGCTGGGTCCTTACGTCCTTGGGCCGCAGTACACGTTCTGCGCAGGAGATTTATTGCAGGATCAGGACACACGAGACAAGGTTGCTGCTGTTACCAAACACGCGGCCAGTGTTCCTCAAATATTTGACGAAGGCGTCATGTTTGTGAATGGCGAAGGCCCATCTCTGAAAGAAGATTTCCGCAATCGTTTCCGCAACATCAGTCGAGTCATGGACTGTGTCGGCTGCGACAAGTGCCGTCTCTGGGGCAAGATCCAAACGAGCGGCTACGGAACTGCCTTGAAGGTGCTCTTCGAATTCCACGAGCATCAGAAACCCCCGTCGTTGAAGAGGACTGAGCTGGTAGCGCTATTCAACACCTATGCCAGACTCAGCTCATCGATCGCAGCCAATGGCAAATTCAGAGCCATGATCGAATTGCGCGATAAGGGATCTAGCGAGCAACCACCCACACCTGAAGAAATCTATCAGCTTATTGACGAGGATGACGAAGATATGAATGAATTCATTCGGATGCGCCATCTTGGACCTGACGATTCGCTGGGTGACCATGTCGGAAATGAGATTGGTCGTGTCATGAAGGCAGTGAAGATTGTTTTGAAGAGCTGGATTCGAACGCCCAGGATGATGTAAGTTTATATAACGATACAGAACGGTTGAAAATGATATTTACTAACAGAGCTACTAGCTGGGAAATTCTGTCGGATGAGACATCGAGAATCTATCGTACTTGGATTGGTCTGCCTCCTCGACCGAGGCGCTATACTTTCAAGCTGCCGGTTTTAGACAGAGACGAACTTTGAGCACAACATTTACATTCATTGTATATTATGGTGCATTCTGTATATATTTCATTTGCAGAAAGTGGCGTTTTGGAAGGGTATTGCTTTTTTTTTTTCTTGTTAGTTCTTCTCTTCGAAAGGGGAAGTTTCCATTACATGATGAGCGATTGGTTATTTTTCGATGCATTGATAGAACCGACTTCTATATCAAACGATATACAACAACAGACTGCTATAGGACGCAATGCATTCCATTATGAATATATATATGCATGATATTATTATCTACCTGGGAACATTACAAACAAATGCGTACTACCACCGGAGAACAAAAAAAAATTTTGACAAGCGGGGAACTAGCAAAAAATGACACCTGAGGGATTCGAACCCTCGCCTATTTCTAGACCGCGAATAGGACGCTTCAATTGCTTGGAGCTGTACCTGAACACGGCGCCTTAGACCACTCGGCCAAAGTGCCTTTGAACATGTCTTGAGCGGGCTAATTTGTAATTATGAAAGTGCCTCATTTCAGCGGCTGTAGTAAGAGCCGTATTAGCACCAGTAAGCATTTCTCTGTTATAGGTATGGAGCTCTTTAGATTATTGCACAGTGCCTTTTGTTTTCTCTCTTCTTCCAAACTATAGTGCTTCCATTATGTATATAAGAAAATGGAGCTCGTAGGTAGAATACAAAGCCGTAGGATGTCTCATTATTGAGGGGCACTCAACTTAGATGCAGATACCGCGCTGCAGCTGACTCCATTTCGGATGAGGGGTTGTGCATGTAAATGAATACAGCAGATCGTTTACCAGTGGATAAATGAACTGCATGAAGATGCCTAAACAAGACAATAGCGTGTAGAAATAAGCATCCTTTTTTCTTTTTTCTTTTTTCCTTTCTTTTCATGGTTCTTGTGTTTATTGAATTGTCTTTGATTAGCAGACCTATAACACATCCCTTCATCATGACTCTGTCTACCATGCTCCCACCACGGCCCTCACGACGACTTGATGGGAAAGTCGCCATCGTCACCGGCGCAGGCAGCCTGGGTGACGGCCTCGGCAACGGGCGTGCCATATCTATTCTTCTCGCTGAAGATGGTGCCACAGTGCTCTGTGCTGATCGAGACTTGGCAACAGCAGAGCGCACAGTGGAGATGATTGTCCAGGAAGGAGGTAAAGCAGCCTCAGTATACGCGGACGTGAGCTCAGAAGAAGACTGTGAAAAGCTAGTGAAAGCCGCAGAAGAGAAATTTGGGCGGTTGGATATTCTCGTTAACAATGTGGGCATTATGGGTGCCGAGGGGACGGCCGTGGAGGCAGATGCTGAGGAGTGGGATAGAGGGCTGAGAATCAACGTGACGGGGATGATGCTCATGGCCAAGTATGCGGTTCCGCTGATGCTGAAGAACCAGCCTGGCGATGGGGGCATACGAGGAAGCATCGTCAACATGGCATCCATAGCGGGCTTGCAGGGGGGCACTCCGCATCTGTTCTATCCAACTAGCAAAGGGGCAATTGTGAACATGACGAGAGCGATGGCGTATAACCACGGGCATGAAGGCATACGAGCCAATTGCGTGTGTCCAGGTACGTTGGGGAGTAAAGGAGAGAAGAATGCCCTCCATTTAAACTATGTCTACTGCTGCTGTACTGTTTCCTTGCCGCTGCTGACCTGGAGAATTCAAACTCCTTTGTTTTTTTTTACTATAGGATTCCTCTACACCCCCATGGTTGCGGGAGACGGTATGTCAGACGAGATGCGTGACCAGCGTCGCAGGCAAGGCCTGTTGAAGACGGAGGGAAATGCCTGGGACTGCGCTGCTGCGGTGAGGTTCTTGGCGAGCGATGAGGCGAGATGGATTACGGGGACGGCGATGACGGTGGATGCTGGGGTGACATGTTCGTACTCTATGCCATGATAGGACGACATGGAAACAGAAGCAGTTGGTGATGCTGGAAAAGAAAAAAATAGAAGTTGCTGGCCAATATGGAGAAGAATAAGACGATGTTGTGGCTTGTCACTTGGAGCTTCAGTATCTATGTAAACGAGAACTGAAGCGATCTTTCAGCGAAATCACAATGGAATTGCCTTGCAGGAGCAGACCTTGATGATACGAACGAGATTTTGGAGATGTCTTCAATATCCTACTATTATAAGATGGCATGCCGGAAGCTCTCGGTATGAATACACATCAATATGGTAATAATGGCAAAGGTAAGTTCACTGCTACGAGCGTGGTTCCTGGTTAACAAATCCGCTTCAATTCATAGAGAGAAAATAAATATGAAATCGTATTCTAAACTAATAGTACAATACTTGACAACTGACGCTTCGTCAATCCCAGGCTTTAAAATCAAGCTTTGAGGGGGGTGGAGAAATTAAGGCCACCAAGGTTCAGGCCAAGGCCACTGCTATTGAGGTTGACACCAAGGCCGTTATCACCACCAAGGGTGACATTGAGGAGGTTATCACCACCAAGGAAATCATTGACGGGGTTATTGCCATCGAGGTTTACACCGAGGCCGCTGCTATTGAGGTTGACACCAAGACCATTATCACCACCAAGGGTAGCATTAAAGAGATCAAGACCACCAAGGGTGTCATTGAAGAGGTTGTTACCACCAAGGGTAGCATTGAGGAGATCAAGCCCACCAAGGGTGGCATTGAGAAGATCGAGACCGCCAAGGGTTGCATTGAAGAGGTCAAGACCACCAAGGGTGTCATTGAGCAGGTTATCACCACCAAGGATATCATTGGGGAGGTTATTGCCACCGAGGGTCACATTGAAAAAGGTTCTGTTGTGGTTTGGACCGAAACCACGGAAGTTCCCATCGGCATTTTGGTCAAAGCCATCGCCGCCCCAACCGAAATCGCCGGTGAAGGTGGGATCGAAGCTAATTGATGGAATTTCAGACCAGCCACCGCAGTTGCTCAAGAATTGCCCATCGTCCGTCCTCTTATCCCTGGTGACGAGGACTGCGTTGTTAGGATCAAGGACAGTCATTCCAAACTCACCACAATCCTCAGCATTGACATACAGGATGCGGATGGGAATGTACGTGCCAACTTCGATTTCGGAGACAACCTTCAGCCAAGTATTGAAACTAACAGTCCAGCTGCCATCGGCGATCAGGTTGGCGTTGATGTTCTTCCAGCCGGCTAGGGCCTGGTCGCCAAGCCAGAGATACACGCTCTGCTTCAGTCCACCATCAACCTGGAACGTGTAGGTACCGGCCTCCTTGGGACGGAAATAACCGATGTGGTGGACGATGCTGTAGTCGATGCCAGTTCCGGTGTCGGCGCCATATACAATGGCATCCTCAGGAGGGCAGGTATTCTGAATACCCAGTGTCTGGGTCCAGCCAGAATACTTGGCCTCTTGACCAACGAGAGCCATATCTGGTTGAAAGTGAAGGATGGGCCAGTTCTGGTCCGTCAAAATATCTGCGTTGCGGAACGGGATGGTGCCTGGAGCAGTTACAGTATCCCTAACCGCGCGATTCAACTTGAAGTAAGACCATTGGAAACCGTTTGAACAGCTGGCGTTTGTACGGTTTGTTCGGCCTATACCGTCTGTATGGTTTGTACGGCCTATACCGTCTGTACCGACCGCCCCTGTGAAATGCTTCTTCTTCTTCTCGCATTTGCCCGACTTGCAGTGGTGTCCCTCAGGGCACTCGAAGTTATAGTGGCACTCACCCTCCGTCACGCAAATGTTGTTCACACAGATATTTCCTGCACCACCGCAGTCACCCGCATTGTTGCAGGAAACCCTGGAGACGCACTTGCGGCCGGAGCAAACCGTCCCGGGGAGACATTGGGAATCATCCAAACACTCCTCAAAAGGCTTCGCCTCGCAGTGGCCAAAGGCATTGCAGAACTCATCGTCATTGCACTGGCCGTCAGAGCCACAAATGGGTCCGGCTGGGCGACTCTGGCACTTTCCGTGAATATCACAGGCCTCAGCCAGCTTGCACTCCGAATCGACCTTGCATCGGAAATGCTCACCGCGACGACACCTGCCTTCCGAGTCACAGATATCGCCATCTTTGCAATGCGTATCGTCCTTGCAGCTATTGCTCTCCTTGGGCTTGCAGGATCCGTCGCTGCAGCCTTCGCCGTCATTGCATTCGTGGTCGGCTTTGCACTTGGGGCACTCAGCCTTCTGGCAGATCCTCTGCGAGTTGCAAAGGTGACCCTCGTTACAACCTTTGTCGTCTTGGCAAACGGGGACGTCGACTGTCTTGCAAATTCCCCAGTTGGTGCAGATTTGGCCCCATTTGCAGTCCGAGTTCTTCTCGCAGTCGGGGAAAACAACCTTTTGACAGTAACCGTGCTGATTGCAAATCTCGCCGTGCTCGCAATCCTTGTTTGTACTACACTTTCCTCCATTGTCAACCTCACAGGCTTTGTCTTGACATCGAGGACCTGGTATAGGTTGACAGACGCCGTTGGAGTTGCACATTTCGCCGGGCTTGCACTCAGTGCTGCCTTTGCACTCGGGGCCTTTGCTGGTTTCACAGATGGATTTGGAGCTGCAGCTGCACTCGGCGGGGCAGTGGTGCTCACTGCTGCATCCCCCCCAGAGGCCATGATACACATCTGTGGGATCCGTGTGCCAGTTTCCCCAAGTGTCGTCTGAGGTGCCGGCGTCCTTGTTCTCACCCCCGGAGACCTTGTCCTCGCTCCCAGAGTCCTTGTTCCAGGTGCCTGACTCCTTATTTGGGCTCTCAGGTCCCTTATTCCCAGTCCCCGTCTCTTTGTTCCAGCTGCCAGAGTCCTTCTCCTTACCCTTCTCGCATTCAACGCAATTCTTCTGTTCAGGGAAGGGTGTAGGAGTGGGTCCACAGGCGTATTTGCCTTGGCGACACATGTGCTCATAGTCCCTCAGGTCGACATAGGCAGTGCTTGTGACGGTGACAGTCGAGGCCAGCCACTTATTGTCGTTGTCGTGACTATGATCCCCTTCATTGCCGGCCACCGCCGATGCCGCCCAAACGGCAGCCGCTGTCAGGAGGCCGCGGCGAAGAGACCGTGCCATCTTGTTGTAAACGAACGAATGATAAACAACTAACTACAACGAAAAAAAAAAATGAGATGAACGAGCGTTGAGATTTAAAGATTACAATCTACCCGACCGTCCGAGGGCAGAGAAACGCGGGTGTATTTAAGCACATGCGCGACAGGCCGTGATTGTCGGGGCATCAAGCAATGGACCGATGGAGAGCTCGATGCACGCTGCAAACATCAACATGAATGGCAATGCATTCCAGCTTTAAATGAAGCATTTTTGCTCCTTCCGTTTCAGGGTTTCCAAGCTCCAAAGAGTTTGAAACATTTCACAAGACTAGGCTTGAGGTTTCAGGCTCGACCCTTTTTATTGGCTGAACCGGTCTTTGCCCTGGATATGCCTATGTGTAGCTGAGATCACTCATAGGCAGTAAGTGATTTGCCAGTTCTCTTCTCCTCTGTAAA